TTGTTTTTTTTGTAATTAACGGTTTCAGAAAAAAAAACGGTTTTTATGAAACTTTTTTTAACGATAAGTATCATGATCTTATAAAACATACTAAAATGTTACAGCCCTGCGACAAATATTAGGTTGTCAAATATCTCCCTTCCGCCTTTTTGTATTATAAACCAAGAGCAAAAAAGCGGAAGGGAGATATTTGACAACCTAATAGTTTAATGTTAAAAATTTATCAAAGTTTGAAAATATATGATAGTCAAAATTTGTGCCAAAAGTTCCTTTTGTTGTGTGATGAGTCAAACATTATCAATTCATTAAAATTTCAAATAATAAGCTACAATTTTAGGACATACAAGCACGTGCCTGTGCAATATAATTAATATAATTACAGTTAATTTAAATGTGCTTGAGAAAATTCTATTCGAAATCACAATGTTCAGATTTAATTGAAAGCGATAACTTTATTTTTAAAACAAACATTTGAAAATTTTATCTAAATATCTGAATTTCAATTTCGATTGGTTAAGTCAATTCCTGCACATTTCGGGAAGTTTATGCAACTTGCCATAAGGCTAAATGCCACTTTCAACTAGTTTATATTTTACTCACAAGTGATTTCATTTCAGAGGAATACGACGAGCTGGGACAACTGCAACGCACCTGCAACGCTGAAGTCCTGGTCAACAAATGTGAAGGCGCCTGCAGCAGCCAAGTTCAGCCATCGGTCATCACTCCAACGGGATTCTTAAAGGTATTCTGGGAAATAGAAATATTGATAGAAAATAGAAAAATACATACTACCCTAAATTTTCACCCTTCAACAAATCCCTTATTTGTAAAAGTCATTGCAGTAATTGAACAAATGATACAGTATAGTCTTTCTTGTGATCTTATATTAGGTTGTCAAATATCTCCCTTCCGCCTTTTTGTCTTTTGAATTTCAAGCAAAAAAGCGGAAGGGAGATATTTAACAACCTAATATATAAAAATGGAGCTCTCGATCAAATGATTCGGTAAAACTCGAAAACGGCTAAACCGATTTGGCCAGTCTTGGACTTGAAAAATTCGTAACAATCAGTAGGTTGTCGGAAAGGTGAGATATTATTTCAAAATCGCGTACAAACTTCACATTTTTAATTTGAAGATTTTTGTAGAAGCGTAATTTAAATAAAACAATGGACGGTGGCTAATACGTCAAATGTCAAACGTTTTTGGCAGATGATGTTCAATTACGTTTAAGTAGGATGTTTTACGTGAATATTATTCAATTATGATTAAATTGTAGTAGGTAGTTTTGTTTGTAGTTTTATTTATATACAAAAACGTTAGCAAACGGGCCGCAAGTGTTACTAGAGACTCAAAATATCAACTTTTTTCAAATGTTAATACGAAAATGCACTTTTTGGCATATTTTTCTCAAACACGGTGTTCTAAAAGATCTCATTTGTATAATTATCACTCATTGGTATTTATAAAAACATTTTCTAGGTTGTATTATTTTTTATTCATATTATTTAAATTCAGAACCAAAATTTGGTATCGATCAAAGGGACATTTTGTCGAATAACATTTTCCCAGTTAAAGTTTCCCAGAATTCATCGAAGAATAGATAGAAATATATGAAAGTCCGGGGTTAAAAAGGTTCACGACCGATGTGACAAAAAACCACGAAAGTTAAGCATTGTTTAACAACAATATTTGAAAGTAAAGGGATAAAGATGTATAACCAGCTATAACCTTGATTCTTATGACTTTGCTATCGGGAGATAAAGGGTAATCTTTGAAAATCCATAATAAAAGTATTTTCTCCGTTGGTAGTTTTTTAGCATTAGTTAAAAATGTAATTGTTTTGTAAAATACCTTTAAAATTAAAATAAGACATTAAACCTGTTTGCCACCTGGCCGTTACAAGTTACTCCGCCTATAGGATAAAAAAGTCTAGATAACAAACTTTTTAAAGACAGCAAAAAAGCACCTTTCTACAATGATGAAGTAGCTGACAGTTTTACTGAACGTAGTCAGATAATTGTTCGTTTGAAATGTGTTATTTGTTGTGATATAATTGGTTTGATTTATATAATATCATTAATATTTGCTCAAAGTCAAATTGGACCTTTGTGCCTCGTCCTGCTCTACATATATAGTTTTTATTAAATTTACTTTAATTCATCGAATGTTACTTGAAACTTCTCAAAAAGCAGGTTAAAGAAGAAATACTTAATTTATTTTCTACCTCTCCTCGCAGAAATTTGAAAATTTTGTATAAGCTCAGTAGTATTATTTGCAATTATACACAAAATCCAGAATCCAAAAAGAATCTGAAAAACTTGAAACGTAATCAATAAGTCGAGAGACCAAGGAAGACTTGGATTGGATTATACCATGTTTTTCTATAGAGAGTGTATAAAACTTCCAGTAGACAAAATGAAGACAAACTAATGAGGTTTATTGTTTTTATAATGCATCGTTGTATATAGCATTCAAACAACACATCCTTATACACTTGAAGTAATAATATTTTTGATTCTCTAGAAATTGTTTAGAATATACCTTGCTTAGCGAAACAACGTTTGGCGGGTCAGCTAGTTTTATAATAATAGTGTCGATCAATGCAATTATTAAGAAAAAATCTATTACCATTTTAGGAATGTTACTGCTGCAGAGAGTCCCTAATGAGAGAACGAACCATAACCCTTTCCCATTGCTACGATCCTGATGGTATCAGGCTAACAGACAACGGCCTGGACACGATGGAAATGCGTATCAAAGAACCAGTGAATTGCAAATGCTTCAAATGCGGAGAGTTTAGCAGATAAATTATAAGAAAGAACATGTTGATGATAAAAACCCTAATATTTTTTTTATTGTAATAAATTTTAAGTTGTTTAAGTAAGTTTAAAATATATATTTGCATACTTGAATTGGAGTCATCAATAAATATTATATTGAATAAATGGTATTTTATTTATAAACTAGCTGTAAGTGGAATTCTGTCTTAAGGCAATTAAGGCATCGTGCCTTAAGGCAAATTGCTGGAACTTCCCGTACCAAAAATTATTATTTTTTTTAAAAACGATTAAAATTGAAAAATTGAAAAAAATTTACTTCGAAAAAATAAGAAACTATAAATTGGATAAAAAATTACTTTTTTATGAAAAAAATTTTTTTTAAAAAAAAATTTTTTTTTAAAAATTTTTTTTTATTTATTTTTTTTTTTAGAAAAATGTTTTCTTTATTTTGACATATTTTGGAAGATCTGAACTTGTTTTTCAGAGCAATCGTACTGCTTTAACTGCATAGAGACGAAATATAAAGCGCGTAAGCGCGGCGTCGCTGTCTAACGGGTAACATTGATACGGAACCCATAGGAAAATAAACAAAATTTATACTTATTGTTAAAATCTCTATAAAATATCTGAAAATTTGATGTGCATATGTCTAATGATCATTTTTGACCGCCAAATGGCATTTTTTTTTACTTTTTTCGTTATATCTCCGAAACCGCTAGACCTGCCTGTATGAAAATTTGATCAATTCTTTATCTTGTCAATACAAGTAAAATGTTTTTTGAATTATTAAAATCGGACACTCCGTTCTCTTTAAAACTGAGTTACCGTTTTCGGCATTTTTTGCCCCGAATCTCCGGAACGGCTGGACCTGCCTTCGCCAAAAACTAATCAGCACGTCTCCTTATCAATACGAATCGAATGTTTTTTGAATTATTCAAATCGGTTGATCCGTGTTCCCGAAATCGTCGACGAAAATTTGTATCCGCACATACATACACACACGCACACACATACACACACACACACACACACACACACACCCCCACACACACACACACACACACACATCCATTTTTTCTAAGGTATGCCAAAATATTCAGAAACCTCTGAAACGTAAAGATATATAAAAATTTTCATTTTCGATTTTTTTGCGATTACTATAACTTACCCTACGGGAAGTTAATAAAGTTAATCATATATGTGATATTAAAATTGTAGCATAATAGGTGTTTTATAAGTTTATTTATAATTTATTATATAAACTAGTGGTGTATGGCATCGTGCCTTGAGGCAAATTGCTAAAACTTCCCATACCGTAACGAAATGTTCGAGGAATATTGAATGTTTTCAAATATATTATTATAAATACTGTAACACTTGTCTAATATTTACAAGAATTATATAAACTGAATTACAAAGTTAAAATTATTTATTTAAATTATATAAGTGAGCTTTAGAACTTTAGCTCAGAATTAAAGTTAAAATCTGAATTATTCTCAATATACAAAAAAAATGTTTTTGAAAAAAAATGGAATAAATTTTTTTTTCCAAAAGTAATTGTTCTGTCAACACAAGCAGAAAGTTTTTTAAATCATCCAAATCGAATGCTTCCTTCTCTCAAAAACTGCCATTTTTTGTACATTTAGCTCTGTATCTTCGAAATGGCTCGACTAGCCTTTGTCAAAAACTAATCAGCACATCTCTCTATCAATAGGAATCAATACGAAAACACACAAACATCCATTAATCTCAAATTCAAAAAACAGTGTTAAAGTTCGACAACCCTTAATAAAAATAAATTGTTTATTGAGGGTAAAAATTTATAAATGGAATAAAAAAAATGGTTCAAAAAATAAAAAATAAATCTTAAAGGCTGCTCGAGTTAAAAATGGTAAGTTAATTTTCACTTCTTTACTTATACGTTTGGATACTTGATATGTGCCATCATTTAGTAAATCTAAATTACAAAAATTTAATTTAAAATTTTGAACACTATTTTGAAATATAATATTAACATTTTAAAATTTTATAAAGCAAAAATTCACATACTAAACCAGAAAAAAATAAATCTAAAGTACAAACATTTGTTTAAAATTTCGAACACTATTTTAAAAAAAATATTAAAATTTTAAAATTTTATCAAGCAAAAATTCAAATACTGAACCAGAAGAAACCAAATCTAAATTACAAACATTTGTTTAAAATTTCGAACACTATTTTTAAAAAATTCACTTTTTGAAATTTTATCAAGTAAAAATTTACATACTGAACCAGAAAAAAACAAATCACAATATTTGAATAATATTTGAAAAATTTAATTAACAACAAACACATAAACACTTAAATGCTATTAAAAAAAAAAAACATTCTGAATATTCTGATGTCAAAATTGTCTTCATTGTTTAAAGCTTTTTATTTAAAATTTCATAAATAAAGTATATTATTAAGTATATTTTGTATAAATGAAGAAGTAAAAATTATTTTACCACTTTTAATTCGATTAATTTACTGTTAATTATATGAAGTATGTTTCAAAGTCAAAAAAATAACCGAAATATTAATTTTAAATACATATATTACAAAAAACGTATACTTTTAAAAGACTACAAAAAATATTTTAAAAAATTGCAACCATATATTATTATTTTATAAAGTGGAAAAAGAGGTATGAAAGATGAAAAAAGTAAGTAATTAATAAGTAATTTTTAACAAATTAATATTCCCTACTCTCACAATTCTTATGATCTAGAAATACATACATACATATACACACACACATATATATATATATATATATATATATATATATATATATATATATATGTATATATATGTAAATATTATATATTTACATATATAATATTTGTGCATAATGGTGTGTAATATATTTATTCCTTCGCAAAAGTCTCATATACCCTAAGTGTTTTCTATTGTCTCACAGCAGGATTAAGGAAGAAACATGTGTTTACATGAAATACTAGCTCATATGTCAAAGCAAACATTAAGTGCAGAAAGTTCAAATGAGACATTACTATCATTACCCAGCTCAACTTTAAAAAAAACTTGATCCAATAATAATTGAGCTGCCGAAAAGCAGCTGAAATGTGCCAGAAATTAAAATAATATAAGATACAGTCAACAGTATATGTTTGGCAGACGAAATTATATAATTCAGTCTAATAAATAACGCAACAAGTCCAAAATTGCTTATACATTATTTTTTTAAACTATTGAAGAGTCTTCTCATATGTAATAGATTTTACAAATTAATTCACCTAAGATTTGAACATAAACAATAATGTCTATTGAATTATTAGTAAGAAAAATGTACTTTAGGAATTATAATTGCCAAAAAGCAACTAATATATCGTATGAGATTATGAAAATTATGGACTAAATTATTGAAGCAATTATGTTGTATGGTAAAATCAAGTGTGATATTGTTCTTTTACCGCAGATATTACATTATTAGAATGTATAGGATAGGATATTAAAAAATTTGGAATTTTTTAATTGTAGATGTGGGTACAGGACAACGTCTGTCGGGTCATCTAGTATAAATATATATATATATATATATATATATATATATATATATATATATTTATATTTATATATATATATGCTAAACATGCACCTACCCACATACATTAGATATATATATATATATATATATATATATATATATATATATATATATATATATATATATAATGTGTATGTAAGTAAAGATGTGAATAAATGGATAAATCTAACAAGACATTAGCTAGCTGTACATAGAAAATGTATATAGGGTGTTTAGGCCGTATAAAAGCATAAGAAAGCTCTCAGAAGCATTAGTGGTGTTTTGATATCAAGACTTGTAACATATAATACTATCGTATTATATCATAATAGCATGAAGTACAATTTCTATTATTTTTCTTTGTATGTATGTGTATGTATTCCAGAAATTTTGGCTATGCAGAAAACAGGTGATAACTAAATAGTAATAAAATCATTGATTTAATAAAATTAGAAAATTAATTAATCAATAAAAATTAATTAATAATTCGCTTATTAGTGTTAAATTATTTAAAACATTCCAAAAGTTGAAATTAGTTTTTTGTTAATATTATATTTATTATTCAGTTATACCCAAGTTGTTTCATTTGGATCAAAATTGAATTGATAAAGTTGTATATCATTTCCATTACCATATTAGAATCTGTTTGAGTATTATATATAAAAGCTTTTTCCTTATTTAGATGATTGCTCCGTTACACCCGTAATTCACGTTTTACAATATCCTGGCTGTGTGCCTAAACCAATACCGTCTTTTGCATGCATCGGTAGATGTGCCAGCTATGTACAGGTTAAAAATAAAAAAATAAAATAATTACTAAATATGTACACTTACTTGATCAATTTTTAAAATGAGTCTTGGAAACATTCAGGTATCAGGAAGCAAAATTTGGCAAATGGAAAGATCTTGTATGTGTTGTCAAGAATCAGGAGAACGAGAGGCTTCTGTTTCTCTATTTTGTCCAAAAGCTAAACCGGGAGAACGCAAATTCAGAAAGGTTAATAATAATAATAATAATAGATAATTATAGTTAATTGTTGAAATAAGTTTACCTGTGTTAATTCAGTTAAGTAGCACAAAGTGAACACTTCAAAGCATAATTAACCAACTGTTTTTAATGCTAAACTTGATTAACTAACTTTTTAATTAACACCGTGACTTTATTTTATAAATATAATAATGTGCACTAACAAACATTCCAATTTACAAACTATTGCAGAAGCTGTCAAAATAGTTGCCACCATAGATGAAAAAGATAGGGTTGCCATATGCAAATATGGCGCGTGTAAAAAGCGGCAAATTCAAATATTTATGATTTTGAATTTATAAAGCAAGACCAAAGCATTTCTCAAACTACGTAATATAAATAATTATGAATAAAACTAGTGGCATCGTGCTCTAAGGCAAATTGCTGGAACTGCCCATACTCTCGAAATATTCGAGGAATATTAATTGTTTTCAAATAGATTATTTTAATTATTTGAAGTATTATAAGTGATGTTTAGAGCTTTAGCTAAAATTAGAATTAAAATCCGAATTATTTTTCGATCTGCAAATTTTTTTTTTGGAAAATTAAAAAATAATTAAACTAAGAAAATTTTTTTTGCCCAAAAGCAATCGTTTCGTCAGCACAAGCAGAAAGTTTTTTAAATCATTCAAATCGGATACTTAGTTCTCTCAAAAACAGCCATTTTTTGCACATTTAGCTCTGTATCTCCGAAATGGCTGAGCCTGTCTTTGCCAAAAACTAATCAGCACATCTCCCTATCAATAGGAAACGATTGCATTTTGAATTTTTCAAATCGATTGATCCGTGTTCCCGGAATCGTCGACGAAAATTGGTATCCGCACACGCGCACGCACACATACACAAATCCATTTTTTCAGAAACCTTTTGAAACGCAATGATATACATAAATATTCATTTTTTCTTGCAGGAAGTTAATTAAAATGCTCAAAATAACAATTAGCAAAAAAAAATTGCACTTAGTAATGATTAAACTATAAAATTTGTTTAATGATACATTATTGTGGTACATTTAACATCATAAAATTGTTATTAATTGCAGGTTATTACAAAGGCTCCATTAGATTGCATGTGCAGGCCATGTACAAGTATCGAAGAAAGTGCAATTATACCGCAGGAAATAGCAGGCTATGCTGATGAAGGCCCTTTAAATAACCACTTTAGAAAATCACATCACATTCAATAAAACCAATTATGATTACCACAATGACAGGATTTGCTCTTCTTGATATAAGAAAATAAAATGTACTCATAGAATTGAAAACACAGTATTTCTAGTTAACTGTTCACTATTGCAAAATATATATACATTGCAGTTAATTTCTGCATAAATAAAACCAACCAAATTTTGTTTAGTATATATTTATATATACTAAAAGCCCATATTGTAATAAATACAATTTTAATATATTAATTGTATTCTTTGACATATTTTATAGTTGTGACACAGCACATCCCAAACTAAGTAAGTAGTGGCTTTGCATTCACGCAAGAAACTTGAGAAGTCTAAATTCCTTCAAAATCATAATTACACAATTAAATGATTTTGAAATAATGACTAAACTTAGCAACTTAGTTCTTCTACACAACAGTCTATTAAATTAAATCAATTGGAAACCAACCATTTGATTGACAAACTGCATCAAATCAAAAAATATAGTCCAAGTAGTAAGTGACAATTTTGCATATTCAATCACAGTACAAAAAATAAATATCCAAAAAATTCAACAACATCTTGAATATATATTTTATGGAATAATAACATCATAGTCACTTGTTTTTAATTGATCTAAATAACAATATTAATTATAAACTAAATTTGTAACGAAATGAAAAAGTAACAAAAAATATTTTAATACATATATACAAATATGGTTGGTGAATCATAATTGACCATACTATGCCGCTAACTTAGTTTCATTATTTTCCTCCAATACCCTAAATTGCAATAAATATGTTAATGGGCACAATTTAAACAAAATCAATCCGGACAAGGCCGAGAATTGATTCTGTGTTTATTTACATAGGTTCTCAAATAGTAAAAAAAATTCAACTAAATTACATAGTATTATCAATAATACATATGAACAAGTTGAGAATATGCATACATAGCACATATCTCGATTAATTTTATGTACAAAATGTTTTGAATTTATTATTGGCATCTTATATCTGAACCAATATGAATAGTTTTGATTTTATATTCATTTTCAAAGAAAAAAAATGTTGGAAGCAATAAACTTTGATAATGTGACAACTTTATTTCGATAATTCAACAGACCAACAGATTTTTTTTTGAAAATAATTCATGTAAAACAATTTGTAACAATAGTTATCTTCAGAGTATTCACGTCACACACGTTAAATACACTGCAAAATATACAAAATATATATACACATGTACATACTTATATATATACACGTAAGTATATAAGAAAACTTTTATATATAACTCACAGTCATCGATTGCAGACATAGTCAAGAAGTTCGTTTCAATAAATGAAACATTGTCCATTTCATGTATTAAATATATATTTTTAACATAACACTCACTGTTAAGGAAATCAATCTTCTATAATTATTTATACTTTATATTCAACCTGTTTTTAAATTACAATTTATATAGTAAGTTTCTAAGGTTTTAATATTTAAGAATTATATTTTATATGTCTATAAATAGGTTAAAGTCTCAGTGTAGGTTTACTTCCCACGGTTTATTTACGCAAACGCACCACATTGCAATATTATTTTTAATCTTGCTTTTTAAAGTCACATAGTAGCATGACTTCATTAACCGGAAGCCCAAGGAGTCATGATTCAAGCTGTCACTCCTCGGTGGAGGACTCATCATCTTGTTCTTGCAGAACGGTGAAGAAAGACACGAGGCATTTCTCAGCAACACCTTTGGAAATAAACAACACTTATTATAAAACCAAAATACACAATTTAAGGGACACCATTAGAGGCAAGAATTTTATGTGTAACAATATTTTTACTATTATTTTTTTTTTCAAGTTTTGATTCTTAGCAGGTGATGAGTCTCAAAAAATTGAAACAAACATGCCTCTGATTTTAGCCCTCCAAATAATACAATAAAACTAGTGGGGTGGGCGGCATCGTGCCTTAAGGCAAATTGCTGGAACTTCCCGTACCGTAACGAAATGTTCGAGGAATATTGAATGTTTTCAAATAGATTTTTATAAATATTGTAACATTGTCTAATATTTATAAGAATTATATAAACTGAATTGCAAAGTTGAAATTATTTGTTCAAAGTATATTAGAACTATAGTCAGACATAAAAATAAAATCTGAATTATTTTCGATATACAAAAAATTTAAAAAAAAAAGAAAAAAAAATGAAACAAAAAATTTTTTTCCAAAATCAATTATTTTGTTAAGACAAGCAGAAAGTTCTTTGAATCAATTAAATCGGACGCTTAGTTCTCTCAAAAACTGTCATTTTTTGTACATTTAGCTCCGTATCTCCGAAATGGCTGGGCCTGCCTTTGCGAAAAACTAATCAGCACATCTCCCAATCATTACTAATTGAATATTTTTTAGATCATTCAAATCGGATGCTCCGTTCTCTCAAAAACTCGATTTCTATTTTCTGCACTCTTTGCTCCTTATTTCCGTAACTGCTGGACCTGCCTTTGCCAAAAACTAATCAGCACATCTCCTTATCAATAGGAATCGAATGTTTTTTAAACCGTTCAAATCGGTTGATCCGTACGCCCGAAAACGTGGGCGAAAATTTGTATCCATACATACACACACACACACACACACACACACACACACACACACACACACACATCCATTTTTTCTGAAGTATGCCAAAATGTTCAGAAACTTTCGAAACGTCGGGAAATGTAAAAATTTTCAATTCCGATTTTCGGCCCATTACAATAACTTACCCTACGAGAAGTTAAAAAAAAAAAAAGTACGATTATTAATCTAGAACAGTGTCGCATCCGTATAAAGTACAGGAACAATATAAAAATTTTTTTTTTGTTAAAATAGCAACTGTCTGAAAACAAAATAATTTATTACAATTTTTTAGATATTTCTGATATTTTTAGGAATAGTAAAATTCGAAAATTGGGTATGATAGTAGTTCATACTGAAGAGAAGTCTATAAAGAAGACTCTATAAAATTTCAAGTAAGCCGCTCCAGTAATAATTTCGAAATCGTGGTTATCCTATAGAGAAAGACAGTTTTGAGAAAACTGTTCAAAGTTTCACTGAGGTACTAAACAGAGGAGGATTATCGCGGTCAAACAGCTGTACCCTCAAAAATACAATTCCAATTTTAAAAAATTCTCTTAAACATATGTTCTTGAATAGTTACAACTTTAAGGGGGGCGATACATGTAACAAGAAAAAAAAAATCGATTTTTTTTTTCATAAATCGTTACAACATCTCAAAAATATGCCTGTAAGTATTCAAAACAAAATTATCATTATTTATACAATAAAAACTCTAAGTGCCACGCCTCAACTCGACGCTTGAGTGCTATTGTACTCTTATCTGTTTCTGTGTCAAAACTTTAAACGCGTTTTTCTCAAAACGACATTTTTGAAATTTGCGGGCGGGATAACTCAGAAAGTTCTCAACCGATTCCAATGAAATTTTGCACACATCTACTTTACAGTAATAGCTTCTAAACCTCAAACATTCCAAAAAAAAATTCAAAAATTAACCCTTTACCAAAAAAAAACCATTGAAAAAAAGGTGAAAAATCGAACTTTTTTTTCTGAGGTGTGCCAATTTACGATTTTGTGACTTTTTTAATTTTTTTTGGTTTAACTAGAAGATATATGTTTTATGAACACGTACAAACTAATTTTTTTTGATTTCAAATCACCGTACGAAAAGTGAGAACGCCCGCAAATTGATGGCGTTTTCCGAGAGGGTCTTTCTTGGCAGATTTATTTTTACGGCGGCAATTAAAAAAAAAAATTAAAAAAAAAATTTTTTTGTGTATTTTAATATATAATAAACAACCCTAAAAAAGTTCAAAAAGATTCAGTCATTCCTTCCCAGTTTAAAAAGTCCTCAAAAAATGGTAAAAATTAAGGCGATTACATGTATCGCCTCCCTTAAATGCATAAAGAACAAAATCGATTTCTCAAAACATTTAGACTGAAGTACCCCATTAAACATAAATGACAAAACACAAAAACTTACCTTTTCCTTCAATTTCTGCAGGGTCAGTACTATTTTTCCATTGCAAGAAAGAATCTCCTGTTATAATACCCGAATCCCAAAGCATATTAAACAATTGCACTAAAACACCTGAAAAAAATAGAACAAATTGTTTTAGGGTAGAAGCAAAGGATATGTATTTCAAAAAAAAGTTAGGGTTATTTTGTTTTAAAAACTGATATATCTTGTTCAAAAAAATCCACAAAAATAATGCTCTATTAAAATATATTTACTATAATTAATGATAGATTATTTAACTTCCCATAGAGTAATATTTCAAAAAAATTGAAGATAAAAATGTTTATATATCTCACATTTCAAATTTGATTTGAATATATAATACAGTTATATACTTTCTAATTGTTTTTAATAAGCATCCATCAGTATCAAATGAAATTGTTTTTTAATAAATGCATATTAAATTGTAGTATGAGCAAAATATTGCATCAATTATCATTATCTATTATAAATTTATTACCTTGTGGATATTCTAATTTATGCATGTAACACTGAATGGCATAAAGCGCTTGAAGTTCACAATCGGGTTTGTTAGAAATGTATGTTGTCAGTAGATCATAATGTTTCTTGAATACATTTTCCAATAAAACCCACGCCTTTGAATGTTTAGTTACGGAATGTTCGCATACAGCTGTCATTAGAGTTCTGGCAAACGCAGGAGTATTTGACATATCACCAACATTCATCTGGAAATAGATAAATGAGCATAGTGGAAATTTAAGGGGGTCTTCCTATGTGATGGGTTGAAAAAATCGATTTTTTTTTTTTTCATAAATTGCTCCCTTAACATGTCTAGAATAAGGTAGTAAAGCGATTTTAGAAAATTTGAAGTCGTTTTAAAGATACAGCAAGTAAAAGAAAGAGCGGTTCGAATAGTTTTTAACGGACTTGAAACTTTAAACGCGTTTTTCTCAAAACTGTGTTTTTCAAAATTTCCTCCATTGTATCTCAGAAACGGCTGGACCGAATTACTTGAAATTTACAGGGCACACTCAATATATTTAAACGCATAGAATGAACCATTATCAAACGAAAATTTTCAAAACTTCGATTTTTTTATAGCAAAAACCAAAAAAAAAACGCCTAATTTGCAACTTTTATTTCAAATGTCTATCAAAAATCCAATTTTTTTAATATTCATTTGATTATAGGTCATTCCGTGCTTTTAAGCCTACAAATTAAAACGCCGTTTATTTTTATTTTTTCAGATAAGCCGATCAGCCGAAATCGTGCAGGAAGTGGGAGCTCTTTTTTTCGAGGCGGGGGTGTTCAGAGCGCTGTAACTCTAGTTTGACTGAATATTTTTAGCTGTAATTTTATATTTATACTGTCCAAATATGTGTACATAAATGATAAAAAACTTGAAGCTCTAAATATTAACTGGTCATAGAAAAAAAATCCTAAAATATCCCTAAAAAACAGGCTGTCACATAGGAAGACCCCCTTAAATTGCATTTGCATATACAAATATAGACTTACAGTTATCCATTGTTCAATATTTGCATCGGAATCATTTTCAGTCATAAATTTCAATATTCTTTCTTGAATTTGTTTCATACTAAGATGACTTGAGCTATTTATAGCATGAATTGCTCCTCCAGTGACATAATCCAGTTCCTAAGCAGATAAAACTCTGATCAATAATTGTTTACAATATTGTTATATATAATTTTTTTTTTTTTTAAATTGTCAGATTAAATTTATCTGTCATGAACAATTCAGTTCACTACTTTCATCAATTTAATAAAATCATCACAGTATTGAAATTAACTGTAAATTAATATAATTTATAATATTAATACATACCTTTGATTTAACAAAATCATCCACTTTCTTTTCATCCATGAATGACTTCCAAGATAAACCAGATTTTGCCCATATGTCTTTAACTCGACCAGGTCCTTTTTCTTTTGATATAGTTTTAAAAATAGCAGCTATAAATTCCCCAGCCAAATCTTGACTTATCAGTACATGTGATATTTTATGAATGTCTTTCAAGTTTACACATTCAGACGCAAGAACGGGCGCTGAAAATTATAATTGTTATTAGGAAACAAAATCTTTATTAAAGATAAGAGAAAACTAGCTGTAAGTGGAATTCTGTCTTAAGGCAATTAAGGCATCGTGTCTTAAGGCAAATTGCTGGAACTTCCCGTACCAAAAATTATTAATTTTTTAAAAACGATTAACATTTTTGAAAAAAAATTACTTTGAAAAAATAAGATTTTTGAGAAACTATAAATTGGACAAAAAATTACTTGGACAAAAATTTTTTTTCTTTATTTTGACATATTGTAGAAGATCTGAACTTTTTTCAAAGCACTGCTTTAACTGCATAGGGACAAAATATAAAGCGCGTAAGCGCCGCGTCGCTGTCTAACGCATAAGCATTGGTACGGAACCCATAGGAATGTTAACAAAATTTATACTTTTTTTTTAAATCTCTATAAAATATCTGATAATTTGATGTGCATATGTCTAATGATCATTTTTGACCGCCAAATGGCTCATTACTTTCTCCTCTATATCTCCGAAACCGCTAGATCTACCTTTATAAAAATTTTATCGATTCTTCATCATGTCAATACAAGTGAAATGTTTTTTGAATTATTCAAATCGGACGCTCCGTTCTCTTAAAAACTGAGTTACCGTTTTCGGCACTTTTTGCCCCCTATCTTCGGAACGGCTAGACCCGCCTTCGCCAAAAACTAATCAGCACATCTCCTTATCAATACGAATCGAATGTTTTTTGAATTATTCAAATCGGTTGATCCGTGTTCCCGAAATCGTCGACGAAAATTTGTATCCGCACACACACACACACACACACACATCAATTTTTTCTAAGGTATGCCAAAATGTTCAGAAACTTCTGAAACGTAAAGATATAAAAAAAATTTCATTTTTGATTTTTTTGCGATTACTATAACTTGCCCTAAGGGAAGTTAAAAAATATTTATTGTACCGATTAAATCTGCCAAGTACTCCCACATCTTAGGAATATCAACCCGAAGATCATCTGCAAATTCCAAGACTTCTTCTAGACCACACAAGTAGCTTTTAATAGGAAGCAACTTATTTTTAATCATATGAACTACAATTTGGGCAGCTTTTTCTCTTAAAACTTGATTTTTCTCTAAACATGCCATGTATAATTCTCTAACAAACCCATAGAGCTGATTAGTTGTACATAGAGATTGAATTTCTTGACCAGCAGCCTATTAAGTAGATTTACATTATTTTAAGAAATATTTTACAAGTTATAACATAATAATTTTATTACTTACTTCAATTTTGAACGAACTATTTGCATAATCTTCTACAATATCAACAATTCTAAGTTTCATCTTATTCAGTAGTTTCTCTGGAATATCTTCTTTCGGAATATTACTGTCCACTTGAGGTTGAGTTTGACTCTGTGGTGGGAGTTGGTTAAAGGCTGGGGTCATTACTGGTGGCGGCATTGAACCTTGTCTGGTCATTTGAGGCATGTTGCTCATTGGGCCTGGTAATTGTTGTGAACGACCGCTACCCGTATGAAGAGGTGCATGTGACCGAGATGAAGAATTGTCTCTGGATCGATGTTGAGAGCCGCTTCGTGAAGAACGATTCTCTGTAAATAGATGTAGAATCATTTGAAGGAATATATGTAGATTTTAGTTAAAGATTTGTTGAAATTTGTAGGGAAATAAGTGAATTATGCTGTTAAAATTTATTTCATAAAGTTATGATTTATCATATGAAAAGTTAAAAAATGTATAAATTAGCATGAATTTTGTTTAAATGTAGCAAAGTATGGACAACTTGCATAATAAATCTATATATATAAAAGAGGTTCGCTTAAGTTAGAACACTTATAACTCACAAACAGCTGAACCGATTTAGATGAAAATTGGCAGGGAGGTAGTTTAGAGCCAGGAGAAACATATGAAATACTTTTTATCCCGTTTTTCATTCTAATTCATTATATATATATATATATATATATAAATATATAAATATACTAGCTAGCCCGGCCACGCATTGCTGTGGCTCAGTAATCTATTGGTGGCAGAGAGGTAGTTTAGAACCAGGAGAAACATATGAAATACTTTTTATCCCGTTTTTTTATTCTAATTCAGAATTAATTATTTATAAACTATCCATGTAGTTTAATCAATCAATGATACTATCAATGATTTCATCCATGACATTTACTCTACTACCTCATGTTAAATATAGTGAATGAATATTAGTTCTTGATTCTATATATAAGGTAAAGTGAAGTCTAATTAATAATGCCGCGACCAAGACGATCGAATCTTTCCCAACAAAGCCATAATGCAAGAAGAATGCGAAATATTGCAAATGCAAGGACTGAAGAACATTACATACATTTACACTTACATGTACATTTTGTCGAATAACTTATTCCCAGTTATAATTTCCCAGAATTTATTGAAGAATGGTTAGTAATATATGAAGGTACGGGGTTAAAAGTTCCATGACCAAAGTGTCAAAAACCAGTAAAGCTAAAGCATTGTTTGACAACATTATTTGAAAGTAAAGGGAAAAAGATGTATAACCAGCTATAACCTTTATTCTTATGGCTTTGATATTGGGAGATAAACGGTCATCTTTGAAAATCCATAGTAAAAGTATTTTCTTCTGTTGGTACTTTTTTAGCATTAGTTAAAAATGTAATTATTTTGTAAAATACCTTTAAAACTAAAATAAGACATAAACCTGTTTTCCATCTGGCCACTCAAGTTACCCCGCCTATAGGGTAAAAAGGTCTAGATAACATATTTTTGAAAGACAGCAAAAAAAGCACATTTTTACAAGGATGAAGTAGCTGGTAGTTTTACTGAACGTAGTCAAATAAGTTGTTCGTTTGAAATGTGTCATTTGTTGTGACAAAATTGGTTTGATTTTCATAATAAAATTTATATTTGCTCAAACTCAAATTGGACACTTTGTGCCCTTGCCCTGCTTTACATATATACTTTTTATTAAATTTACTTTTATTCAAGATAATTATGTTACTTGAAACTTTTCAAAAAGCAGGTCAAAGCAGATTATCTAATTCATTTTCTATCTCTCCTCGCAGAAATTTGAAAAAAATTTATAAGCTCAGTAGTATTATTTACAATTATACACAAAATCCAGAATCCAAAAAGCTTAAATCGTAATCAATAAGTTGAAATACCAAAAAAAAGACTTGGATTGGATTATACCATGATTTCTGTAGAAAGTGTATAAAGCTTCCAGTTTGATTGCATTGACAAAAGATAGACAAACTAATGGGGTTTATTGTTTTTATAATACCTCACTGTATATAGAATTCAAACAACACATCCTTGTACACTTAAAGTATTAAATATTCATGATTCTCTAGAAATATTTTAAAATATACCTTACTTAGCAAAACAACGTTTGCCGGGTCAGCTAGTATATTTATAAAATTGCAATATATCCAGTTCATCATAAAAGCATAATTCACATACACAATTTATCAGATTATAAAGTATCTTTCACAAACCTTTCAGTTCACTACTTTCATCTATTTTTAAAAATCATCATGTTCTTATATCATACTAAATAAATAATTTCAATTTTACTAAAAAAAAAAACTTACCATCATATTTCTTGTATCTTTCCATGGAAGGTCCTTTAGAATGATATCCAGGATCATTTTTATTTCTGGAGCCTCGTCTGTCGTCTTCAACATTCTCCAATGCCGAATAATAATTAATTTGTGATGGAGTAGACTTCATGTTGCTACCATGGCCCCAATTACCGTACTGAGGTTTACCTAGTGAAATGTCTTCTGTAGCGTGTATCTGAAGTATAAAAAAAAAAATACATACATACACATATACATATATAATAAATATATACGTTATTATTATTATTATTATTATTATTACCGCTGGCATCAAAGATTGTCTAAGTTTGCTCATATCTGGGAATGAGTGACCGCTGCGTGAACCCCTTCCTCCAGCAGTAGACCATCCGTCTTCGTTCATTTGACTTCTCTTCCTGCCATCGTTTGAGCCCATGCTTCCCATATTGCCCCTCCTGTCGTTATCTTTCCTGGGAGTGGGCGTAGAATTCATCAATTGTATTTGCATTTGTTCATTTTCAGCTTCCTTCTGAATTTGATCCATTGTTTTTGGGTTCGTGTCATTGTGTCGGGGTTTCCATTTGTTTAGTCGTAATTCAATTACATCTTGGAGCATAAACCTATTGAAATAAAATGGAATGACTAAACGAAAACATAAACATAAACATAAACTTCTACAGGAAGTTTAAAGAGTAAATACTTCATAAACTAATGCAACAAGGAAAGAATACATGATGTTTAATTTATTGATGGAATAAAAATGAGAAAATAAATAATATTCTATCATTAATTTATCTATTCAACGCTTCAATGCAAACTGAGTGATTGTGTATACAAATTGAAGGGTTAATAGTTAATGACAACGTAAATTCCGTTTACTCATAATAGATAAAAATATAATTCAATTAATACACTTACCTAACTCTACTGCTAATTTTCCCATGTTTTCGATCAACAATTTCTTGCATTTTAAGAAAAGTAGGTTTCAAATCTTGATTTTTGTTAATTTCTAAATCTCGGCCAATTGTCGTCAACAATTTGCACAGGCACTCGAGGCTTTCTTCTTCAATTGACTGCAGTAGCATCCTAAGGCACTGCATCATAATTTTTGTGGTCAACATACCTTGTTTGAATAACTCTCCAATAAATCTAACATTTCCAACAGATTTAACACGAATCTTTCGCTCTTCTTCTTCTAAATTAAACTGTAGTTCCTTCTTCTTCTCAGGGTCTGTACACGCTTCAATTTCTTTCAGTTTAACTTCTCTTGCGGTTTCATCTACTGTATTTTTCTCAAATTCATTTTGACAACGGGATAAGAGCAATTTACGGAAATTGACGTATTCAACAGTTGAAGATTGACCGTTTTGTTGGTCAGCAGGAACTTGGATAAGAGCTAATTCTTTACACATATATGCATAAGCTACAGAAAAACTAGGTTCATCAACAGCCTGAAATTAAATCAACAATTAGTAAATTTGCTAGTCACTTTTTATCATATTTGGAACTTAACACTATTCCTACCGGGACCGGTCAAATGACCGTTTTTGATTTTTCGATTAGTATTTTTCATATCAAACGTAATTGAATCGTCATCAAACTTTATGACTTTTCCTAATATTTTTCAATTTTTATTTTTGGAAAAAAATTGTATACTGTCTTACCTACCGCGACCGGTTATTTGACCGGTAGTATGACAGACGATGATCGGACGGCATTTTTTGTAGTAGTTGTTGTAAGTAAGATTATGATCGAACTTACAAGAAAATGTAAATTCAGAAGAATTTAGAGTGGTAAAAACCGCCTTCTGCAAATTTATATGCATTTTTTCCAATTTTGTATGCTCGCTGCGCTTATGAGGCAAGGAGTATAAATATTGCACTTCTACGGTGTAAAAAGTGGGTTTTCTCATTTTTGCTCAATGTCAAACAGATTTTTACGAAGGAATACAAAGGTTGGTTCAACTCCATTGACAGCAATCAAAATTGTTGTAAAAGATCACGTATTACGATCGACAAACATATATTTTCAATAAAGGTAAAATGTAAATTTATTCAATTTTCGTATCTGTTCAATATACGATGTAAATATAATTATGCCCAGCAAATCGCACAAATGGGGCGTAAAATTTTGGTAACTATCCAAGTATACGTAGCAAACTGAGAATTTCTTTGAAAAGATTTATAACTGATGAAACCGTATTATCAAAATCGCTAGTACGACGTAAAAAATATATAACGTTTTTACCATCTTACAAATAGCTAAACTTTTAGTAAAAAAACTGATGGTAGGTACAATTGAAGCAATATAACTGTTATAAATACTGGCAGATCTAAAAATCAAGGACCTCAACACTCAAATAATATTTACAATTTTGGAAGCTAAGAAAGAAGATTCTAATGTTCACATACATACACATATGTTGAAAAAATTACACTAATACGGGAGTTAATTCAATTGGTATTAGCGTCGGGACTGATGTAGATGTCATTCATTAAATAGTCAGAAATCATTCGATCAGCCAATTCAAAATCAGCAAAAAACGTAAAAAATGCGTGTGCAGAAAATACATTCTAAGAAAAAAGTCGTAAGAGATTGGATACAACAGTATAAAATGTAGATTTCGCATTCTAAAATAAAAGAAATATATTGTATTTGTATTTATAAACTCTTAAACTAGCATTAACTCTTCATTCAATACTGAAAAATACCGATTTTGCATGACCGGTCATTTGACCGGTCGCGGTAGGAATAGCAAACATGAAATGTCGGTAGGAATAGTGTTAAATAAGACTTACCTTTTCAAATACTAAATCCATAACACCTTTAAGTCTTTCTGTAGTGTTAATATCAAGATCCCTAACTTGCCTAACCAAGGTTTCGAATTTTTGTGGCGTAAGCTTGTTGAGGACTCCTCGTACTTTTTTATACAATTCCTAAAAAATCAACTTATTTAGCATACTGAAACAAACAAACAATATAATAATTCACACTTACTTCAGTTTGCCTGCTGTCGTCATTAACATTAACATTTTTCATATGGGATGGTTTCCAAGCATTTTCAGTTTCATGTAATTTAACTTCATCTCTTAATGATAATGAAACATGTATAATTCCTGGTTTACTACTAACTGAACCACCTTTTGAACCACCAGACTTTCCCTGTAAATAATAATTTTAAGAATAAAAAATGTTGCAATATGAGCGGAATTTAAAAGTATGTTTATTACCACTCTTTGGGATTGTGACTTTGCAAATCCAGGGAACAGAGCATCATGCTGCCTATTCAGACTTGGGAAATTTCTTGGAGGGTCTCTACTCAATTGCTGTAAAAAATACATAAAACTTTTAAAAAATATTATATGATATTTGAATTATTAAATTCCCGTAGGGTAAGTTATAGTAATCTTGAAAAAATCGAAAACGAAAATCTTTATAAAAAATTACAAATTTATAAAGAATAAATATTGTTTTTCATTGATATAAATCAGAAAAATTAACAAAAAAGCAACGATTTTTTTATTGTTCTTGATTTTTTTTTATATAATATATATAATATGTAATATTTTTATTATAAGCAAGTTCAACACATGCAAAAGACGGTAAGAAAAAGAAAAAATCAAAACTATAAATATTTACTACCAATAATCGTTAATATATAAGACACCAAAAACTCATTTATCCCATATAAATGCATGTAGAATGAATGGTGGTCCAGCCAGACCTTTCCGACCGTTCGAAGGTGAAAAAATATCCGACCGACGGAGGGTTAAAGAAAATTTTACAATTTTTTCTCGTAACTAAAACACATGATGTTTGGTTGGGAGGGGGGGTTTAATTTTGAATATCACACGTATCAGGTGGAGGGGGGGTCCAAAATTTCTTAAAAAATCGATCACGTGATTAATGGACGCTCCATATGCAGCGCGATTGCTTAAAAAAATGTTCAAAATTAAAAAAACAAAATATAAAAAAGCAATTTTTTCAAAAAAAAGTCAAGTATTTTCAAAAATTTCAAAATTACTCAAAAATCTAGTTTTTTCAAAGATTTGCAAAGTTTTTTTTAATAATTAAATTTTTGGTACTTGAAGCTCAAGCATTTTGCCTTAAGGCACGATGCCATGCACCACTAGTTTAATTCTTACTAAGGTAGTAAATTGCAAAATGACTAATAATATTTACCCTATTTGCACCTTCTTTCAAAACTACATCCATGTCAGGAAGGTTAGGTTTAACTTTTGATTTGGGATCGCTCTGAAGAGCGACCAAGAAGTCCCTCCCATAAACCTTCTTTCCAGTTTGGTTCGTAGGGCTCCATTGATCTGCATGTTCAAAACAACTTATTTCAGAAAAAACGGGACATACAAAATTGTTCTGACATACAAAATTCATATTATATCTCAGTAGATTGTGGTATATAATAATAAAAATCTTTCGTAGAAATGCATTTTGTTTAAATTGTCAAAGGATCGTTTAATGTATAATCATATGAAAGATAAATATTCTTTTGTTTGAATTATCTAATTTTAATAATTGTAATAACTTATTACAACTGTACCTTCTTGATAAATGTATTTTAAAGTAACTTTTCCATCACCAATAGTTTCTGACTGTGATTCTTCCATTTTAGCTTTATTTTCTTCATTTTTCGCCCGGACTAACTTCTCTTCTTCAGTTAAATTTAACAAATCCAGGCTTTCCTGCAAACATAGTAAAAAATTATTAAAATGTAAATATTAGATAAAATTGACTTGAAATTTTGAGTATTTTTATAAGTTGTCAAATTTGGATTACTTGATAATTATAAAACAAGTGTTTTGATTCAATAAAACCACGAACCTTTGGAGATTCCTTCTTGGTGAATTTGGGCATAACATCTGAGCCTTTGACAATAGATGTGACATCCACCTTTTTGGTGCCTTCGAGTGTCTTTGGTAAAACATTTTTAGAAGCGAGTGGTGCAGGTTTGTTCATATTATTAGATATCATTGAGGCAAATGAATTATCTTTATTATCAGGCACCAATTTGTTTGCTTCGCTCGCCGGAGGCGTGTTGCAATTAAGAGTTGCATCCTCCTTTGCTGGAATTTCACTGCTCTCTATATTATTTGAAACAGGAACTATGTTTGCAGCAGGATTCGTCGTGGGTTGCATTTGTGGTTGCGGAGGAGGCATCGAGGATGGTGGTGCAGTTGCAGGAACTGCAGGCGGAGTCGCAGGAGAATTGAAAGCGTCCATGTCCGATGCATTTGCTTGCTTTTCTGCACCTTTCCTATTTATTTCTTTATTTCTTTGTGTCTTATTATTAGGTTTAGGTGGCTGAGGCATCGGAACTGAAATGTTCGCATTAAGAACCGCTCCTGCATTTGACTGCTGCTGTTTTTGCTGGTAAAGTGGCCTTGGAGCTTGGGGTACATCCTTGTTAGAGTTTTGTTGTTGGTTGATAGCTGATGTAGCCTGTTGCTTTCCAGGCTGGTTTTCTTTCCTCGAAGATTTGGCTAGAATTAAATGCATGAAAATAAATTACGGGGTTATAAAAAGTCACTTGTAAAAAATTAAAATCTGTCATGAATTTATGTCATCAAATAAAATACAATATTTAGACAGATTGAACATTTCAAATAAATTATATATACAAAAAGTATAAATTATAAGGAAAAAAACAGAAATAACATAACTCGCCGTAATAAATACATTAAGGGGGTATTCTAGTTTAGAAGCATGAATTTTATGTAATTTTTTTTTTTTGAAAGACCGTAAAAAAGGTGAAAAATATTTTTACTATACATTTGTTTTCTATGCTATCCATGTTTTAACACAGAAAAAAATTAAAAGCAGTTAAAACCAAAAAAGAGAATAAATGCAAAATTAAGTTAAAAGAATATTATAAAAAAAATTAGACCAAAGTGTTAACGTAGAAATGAATATACGTATGATTGAATTATAGAATAAATGATATAAAATATTTTAATGACCATATTATATACATTAGGGTGGTCCTTAATATGGACATTTTCGATTTTTTTTTTGCTCCCAGGGGCTTAAATGCTTCTAAATTGATAAAAAAAAATCTAAAAGTTTTAGCTCTTATTCGAAAAAACTTCGAAAATTTTAAAAATGTTTATTAGGTATAATTTAGCAAATGAATTGAAGTGACAATTTGTGCCATGTGTTATCGAAAATTCGACGCTCTACAAAACAGATTTTTTATAATTTCTTTTGTCGACATTGGAATAACACTCATTCATTTGTTCGCTAAGTTATATCTAAAAGCATTTTTAAAATTTTTGAAAATTTTCCCATGCTATTTCCATACAAAACTTTGATTGAATGGCTCACTATCTAAAAGACAATACTAAAAGCTAAAACCTATAGAGGATTTTTTTATCAATTTGAAAGCATTTAAGCCAGTGGGAGCAAGGAAATTCAAAAATGCCCATATTAAGGACCACCCTAATATACATATATATAATATGTAAAATATATACTATGTACGATCTCTCATGCCAGGTACTTCTGTCTGTCTTAGATGCATAAAATTTATATTAAAAATAAAAAATAAAGTTTTAATTCTAGCAGGTGATAAAGTTTGGGGTCTCCAAATAATCCGATGAAGAAGAATATAATTAATCTAGAATAATATTGCATTCTTAGGAACCTCGGGAAAGTTAAAAAAAAAATAATCGAGTGTTTGAAAAAAAAATTTATTAATATTCGCCTTTTTAAAATAGTCGAATTTAAAATTTAAAAATTTTCTTATACAAATTGTTTAAATATTGAATTTTAAAAATATAAATAAATCTATTTCTTCATCCTTCTAAACTAGAATACCACCTCGTAAAAATAATAAAATAGCTTATACACAATAAATAATAAAATAAATTATTGCAAACCTCCATGCCCGTTCATAACAACGGTCCAACCGTCTGTGTCATTCATATTGAATCAATATTTACAAAATATTCTAACAAAATCTATTCCCTTTGTGCGTTAATCATTATCACAAAATTATCACATATCACTTAGTTCTCGAATTAAAAAAATGTTTCATTTCATACACATATATAACAATAAAAATAGTTCAACAGGACGTTTCGGGCACAACCTAAACATGAAATTAAACTCACAATATGAATTGAATACTAAAATACTGAATCACACGCAAAGAAGATGCACTGTTTAAGTTTAGAGAAAATAGTACGGAGAAACAGATCGTCCAAAATTAGACACCAATGCGAAAATTGCAAATCACACGGAGACGGAGCGAGAAAAGCATTTGGCTCGCTCCTACATAGAATAGGATTGAAAAATGAAAAGTTTTATTATATTTTTATAATATTATATTTTTCGACTGGCAAAATACAGAGTTTTTCATGTGAATACCGCAGAATTCAAAATTTCATCAAGTTTTAAATTTTATATATGAGACTTTCAGTTTAACAAATGTTAAGATGTCAAGGACTCATATATATTTGAACTATATAAATGGTATCAATGGTATATTTTATCATTATCAAATTCAAGTTATATATTGTAATATATGCATCGTATACATGGTTTCCAACCTGTGGGGCGTGCCCAGACTGTTTCCAAAATGCTATTTGCAAAAAAACGATAATATTGAAAACAAATATTTTTTTTTATAATATTGCATATTTATATAGAGCCTAATAAACTATAATATCAGTTGAGTATTTATAAAATCAGATAGCTTGAGAAACACAAAATTTAAGGGGTGCCCAACCATGTTTTTTTTTTAGTGTCTCCCGACTCCTTAGCTTACAGTCTGTAGAAATATATAACAATATAATAGATTATTTAAAACTATGTAAAGTAGATATATAAAGTAGAAACATGTTTTGTTAATATTAACTCTAGAAATTATTATGTGTAATTATGTGATTATGGCAATAAGGATGTACCAGATGCCAAGATAATAAATTAATAAAAAAAAAAACATGTTTTTTATTGAAAAGGTTGTAAACCACTGGTATATATAATTAATATCTTCGTTTAGAGCTCTTCTGCTCAAAAATATTATCAAAATCTTAGTAGAAATTAGCAAAACAAACTGGTCTTTCTAATGATGTTATATTGTTACATATCAAATTAATATATTATCGAGTAAATAAAGAATATATGTAAAGTATATATGCTGTCTGTGTTTAGAGGTCTTTTTTTCAGCTCCATAATATTTGTAAATTCCTGGTAAAAATAATGAAAATTTAACTTCCCGAAGGAGAAGTTTATGTTTTCATCAAAAAATCCGATTCGCTAATTTTATGTTTTCTCGACATTTCAAGCCATTCTGAATCGAATGAGACTAAATTTGGAAAAAGTATGTGTGTGCGTATGTGAACAGATTTTTTGCCGCAAATCGACGTTTTCTCAAAAACGGCTGGACCGATTATAGAAATTTAAATGTCATTTGATGTATCTCAATGAGGACTATCGTTTCAGTTTTGTGGAACGATCTGCCTAGCCGTTTCTTTGCGATTTGAAAGAAAGTGTTAAACTTTTCGCCCACATTTAAGCTCATACTACCGAATCGATTTTAATTTTAATCGATTGTTCGAAATATATTAATTGGGAAGATACTGATTACTTTTAGGTGAAAATCTACCGAGCCGTTTTCTTGTAATCAACTGTTGAAAAAAAATTAAGCCAATTTTTATGGAACTATTTTTGACGATATATATCATGGTCTTATAGAACTTACTGAAATATTAATGCCTTACGACAAGTATTTTAATTTTAAACATTCATCAAAGTTTGAGAAATTGAGTAGTTTTTTTGACGTTTGTTAAAATTAGACAATTTATACTTGGTATAACGATAGAGTACTTGGTCTTAATAAACATACTAAACCAATAAAGTCCTATGGAAACTAGTTCAATTATAAAAATTATTGATTTTTGAAAATTTGCTTTTAGAGAATACTCTAAGTTAACGAGTTTGTTCGTTTTCAATTAAGTGTTATAAATCCACTCGAAATACTTTTAATCACTCATAAATTAATTTTTTTTATTGCTTAAGTCGATTATTTATACATATCGGGAAGTTCAAGTAACTTGCCTCAAGGCAAAATACCAATACCAACTAGTTTAAAATTGCATAAAACATTTTTTTTAACTAAAAAAGAAGATATATTGGAAAAGCAGAAGAGACTGAAGAATCTAACTGAATTTTAATTGGTTTTCATAAGTGTATTGGTTTATTTTATTTTTTTTATTCATCTTACAACGATTTTGGATAAAAAATATCGATTGAAAAATATTTTATCAATATCGAAATTAAATTATGTTCGCTGATAATAACCATCCATTAGTCATGTTTATTGGCCTGAAGAATATACTATGTTGATGTATGTATCGTCAAACATAAGCATAAATCTGACCTTTAGCAAGATAAATCACAAATTTAGAATGCCGAATACAAATAAAACGAGAGATTAACAGCTTTTCAATTCGAAGTACATATTTTATAATGTCGAGTTAAAAATATCAAAGACTCGACAAATTGAATGATAAGGTATAAATTTTATATAATTTTTGAAAGGCGAACAATATTTTTACTGTCAAGTATTGTATAAGTTATTGATCATTGTTTTAAGAACTTTACAATGAAAAATATGTAAATTAAAAACAATCAAAAGGTATGTTAATTCTAGCAGGTAAGTGAATGGTCTCAAAAAATTGGCAGTAAATAATAATAACAGAAAATTATTAATCTAGAACAATGTCGCATCTGTATGAACTACGGGCAAATAAAAAAGAATCACAAAATGGCGACTCTGATTTTGTTTGTTTTACAATTTTTTAAGATAGCAAATATTGAAATTTGGGGGTGAGAGTAGTCCATACTGAATGAAAAGAAAGAAAGAAGATCCTGTAAAAATTTCAAGTAAATCGTTGCAGTAGAAGCTGAGAAATCGTGGGCAAACAAAAAAGAATAACAAAATGGCGACTAATTTTTTTTATGTTTTCGATTTTTTTTAAATAGTAATTATTTAAATTTCGGGATGAGTGTAGTTTCTACTGAATGAAAAGAAAGAAGAAAGAAGACTCTGTAAAAATTTCAAGTAAATCGTTGCAGTAGAAGCAGAGAAATCGTGGGCAAAGAACGGGCAAACAAAAAAGAATAACAAAATGGCGACTAATTTTTTATGTTTTCGATTTTTTTAAAAAAAATAGTAAATATTGGAATTTGGAGACGAGAGTAGTTTCTACTGAATGAAAAAGAAAGAAAGAAGACTCTGTAAAGATTTCAAGTAAATCGTTGCAGTAGAAGCTGAGAAATCGTGGGTATCGTATCGAAAAAGACGGTTTGAAGAAAAACGAATATGATCTGGTGCTAAAGTCCAAACAAAAGAGTTCAGAGACTCATTATTATTTTGAGTTTCTGAAGTCAAAAAGTCCTCTGATGACAAATTCTTGTAAATTGGTTTAATAACTTCCAAAACTTTTTGAAAAATCATTTTGTACATATTCTTGAGCGG